AGGGCCTAGTCCATGCTGTTCTTTTCTCCAGCCGGCCTCTTCGGAGGGATCGTTAACGGCAGGGCGGTCGCTGGGGCTGCCCAGGTGATGGCTGGCCAGTAAGGTGCCGTCGCCAGTTTCTCCACACGTGCTGATTGCTTTTGGCACCCTGTCTAAGGAGGAGCGAGCAAAGATTTACCAGTGCGTGGCATGCTGCCTTGGCTAGTTGCATGGTAAGCACGGTTGCACTGTCTGACTGTACTGGCAGCAGAAATACTAGTGGAAAGGCACTTGGTTGTGTAACTATGAGAAAAGACTCTGATTTCAGAAATGTAAAACAGCTCCTTCATGCACTTTTGAGAGTGAAATCTAGTCAGCCGTTCATCTTCTGGCCAATACTGTAGACATTTCAAGGCTGACTTATACAAAGGATATCAAGGGGCAGGGTTGCATATTGGAAGTTTTGGTTAAGTTGTGAAAAAAGTAATAATGCATCCATGAAAAGTGATTTTAGTCTCAAGTGGGGTGTGATATTGTTTCATTGTTGAACACAGGGGCTAACAAGTCTATTTTTATTTACTCTTCTAGGTGGAAATGGGCATGAAGAACCATGAAATAGTTCCTGCTAGCTTAATTGCTTCCATTGCCAGCCTTAAACACGGTGGCTGTAATAAAATTTTGAGAGAGTTGGTGAAGCACAAACTTCTAGCTTATGAACGAACTAAAAGTGAGTTTGAATTTTGTGTTGGGCTCCCTCTTTCGTTCTGTCACCAGTGTCTCACAGTGGTACTTGCAGAAATACCACAGCTTGGCACGTGTGAACATCCGGAGCACTTTCTAGCCTTAATTTCTCTTGGACCTGACTTGGGAGCATGGATTTGTGCAGTACCAAGTGTTCTAGCTTTGTGCTAAGCTGCTTGTGCCTATAAAGATGAGAGGCAGAAAGCTGATAAACAGCTAACTTTTTTTTTTGCTTGGTCACCAAAGTAAAATAAAAGACTTATGAGTTAAGGCAATGCATACAGTAATGGTCTCTGGAGCCCCCAGCATAAGAAATACGTGGGCCTGTTGGAGTGAGTCCAGAGAAAGGCCACAAAGATAATCAGAGGGCTGGAGCACCTCTCCTGTGAAGACAGGCTGGGAGAGTTGGGGTTGTTCAGCCTGGAGAAGAGAAGGCTTCAGGGAAACTTTATACCAGCTTTCCAGTACTTAAAGAAGGCTTGCAGGAAAGATAGGGAGGGGTCTTTATCAAGGAGCATAGTGACAGGGCAAGGGCTAATGGTTTTAAACTAAAAGAGGGTAGATTTAGGTTAGATATTGGGAAGAAATTCTTTACTGTGAGGGTGGTGAGATACTGGAACAGGCTGCCCAGTGAAGTTGTGGAAGTGTCACCGGAGGTGTTCAAGGCCAGATTGGATGGGGCTTTGAGCAACAAGGTCTAATGGGAGATGTCCCTGTCCCATGGCAGGGGGAGTGGAACTAGATGATCTTTGTGGCCCCTTAGAAACTCTAACCATTCTATGATTCTAGGAATCAACCCAAATGAGTTACAGTCTTATAGTACACAAACTGGAGCAGACTGCAAAAGCCTTGTACATTTTACCCTTTCAGAAACAGCTACTAAAGTAGTTCTTCTTCTCTGCCGTGTGATAAGTAGTAGTTGTGGAGGCCTTTCCCTATTTCCTTCAGCCTTTTAGTTGCGTCTGGCTTTGCAAACATACCGTAGGAGTCTACAGGAAATTCCTATCCTTTTTGTCCCCATTCTTGAGAGCATTAAGGGTTGCTCTAGATCGTCACAACAATCCCAGATCCCTGCTGTGTCTCCTAAATGTGTATCTTCCAAAATGTTCCTTGGGCTTTCCCATGCTATTTAAAGTACTGCCATTGCCTCAATTAGAGAGGGGCTAACAGCATGTCTGTCTTTTGCCCAGTTGTCAGTTTTCATAAAACTTGCAGGAATTTAAACATCTTTACCATTCTGTCAAGTTAGGCTGATATTAGCTAACGGGTGAACTATTACTTGGGTGTTGTGTACTGTAAGCTGAAACAAGACTGAACTGAGACTTACTTTAAATGTAATGTATTGCATAATGTGGAATGAAATGTTTTTATGTTTTATTCTTGCCTAGCTGTCCAGGGTTATCGGTTAACTAATGCAGGATATGATTACCTTGCTTTGAAAACTCTGTCTTCCCGACAAGTCATAAATTCAGTTGGAAACCAGATGGGTGTTGGCAAAGAATCAGGTAATTGAAAAAAAAAAATTTTTCAGTTTTTTTTTTTAAACAAACACAGCTGTAATATAGGCAGATGCTGTTTGTCTCATGCTTTGAAGAGTTTTGAACCATTTTAGTGAAAATATAATTTCATTTTTTTCATCCCACTTAAAAATAAGAAAGTAAAATAGTCTCAAAACTATTGGAGTACTACCTTGGTTCCTCTTACATTCATGTAGATTGTATTCAACACAGCATGTAACTTCTGTAATTGAAGAATGAGAAGGGGATTGTTGGGGACAAACGGTAGAAATGAAACATAGGCTATTTGTTAACACTGTTTAAATTGTGAAGCTGATCCCTTGGGTTGTCTGTCCACTCAATAGAAGAAGAAGGCTTTCCCAGAATGTGATTAAGAACACCAGCATCTGCCCTGGATTTCTCTCAAGGATAGCTTATATTTGTTCTTTGCTGTGCCAATAGCCTGGGGATGTTAACCTGAATATAGGAACCTTAAGATCTCCTACTCTGAAAGGTGTTTCAGATTACATTAGTATTTCTTCTAGTGGAGTACCGTGATCTCTTTGACAATAATATCTTCTTGTTCAGATCTCTAATGTACAATATGTAAATTTAGCTGTCTTTACTAACTGTAGTAGAACTTGCTATGCTAGAGATAGTAATTGTGAGAAGTGAAATTACAAACTTATCACTGCGCTTTTTCATCAGGTAAGAGCCTTTTAGATATAATTTATTCCTTAGATCGATGCCATTATGTGTCTTTTAGATATTTATATTGTTGCAAATGAAGAGGAACAACAGTTTGCATTGAAACTACATAGGCTTGGAAGAACATCCTTTCGCAGTCTGAAAAATAAACGTGACTACCACAAGCACAGACATAAAATGTCATGGCTGTATTTATCCCGGCTAGCAGCAATGAAGGAGTTTGCCTATATGAAGGTAGGTGGACATTCATGTAGTGCCAGCAATGGTCTAACAGGTACTTTTCAGTACTGTCTTTTGATCAGTTTGTGTTTGTGGTACTGGTAAGGATTTATGCTCCGCCCCTGCCAATGGACTTAAAGTATATGTTTCAGAACACGTCAATGTTATGTGTTTTGTATACTTTCCAGTGACAAAACGAAGCTTTGCAATGGAAGTCACCTGGAACAGAAGCAGGTGTCATGAGAAAATTTGAAATTAACATTGTTATTTATGGATAGATAATTTATATATCACGAGTTCTGCTTTTTTTCTTTTAAAAGTTGTTGTATAAGCTTGCAAAAACACCTTAAAAATAAGGAAATTTACAGTTACTTGTCAGAATTATTCTCTTTTTTTAAAAAAAAATTACGTATTTATATTTTGCTATGTTTTCAGTTGTTACTGTGCTGTTGAGGGAAATCTTTCAGTCCAGACTGGTGTTCTGATCTCAAAAGGCAGACTTTGTTCTGTACTTCGGGAAAAGATTTAATTTCCAACCATATATTGCTACTTTCAGCGTTCTGTATTTTTTGACCTGCTTTAAAAAAATGCAGATGTTATCTACTAACTGAAAATTGATAGTGGAAAACTAATTATTTGTAAAAGCTGTTTTTCTGTTCTGCTTTTGTGCTATTCAACAGTACTATATACATTAAGTACTGTTTTCTTGTTTCTCTTAAAAAAACGTGATAGGTTCTACCAATGGCCTCCACAGAGAGAGAAAGAACTTTTACCATCATTTAAAGCCTCTATGTTGGTCCACTTGATCCAACTGGTAAAGCATTATGTGGTCAGGACTTGTAGGAATGTAATCATGAGGGTCAGTTTCCCTGGAAAGAGAGTTGGGGAAGGATTAATTGTGTGCAAAAAATTGATAATAATGTAATATTTACATAACAAAAGGTGTATTTATGTTGCTTTAACTTTGAACTCTATCTTGGAAAAATGCACTGGGAACAAGAGAATGAATAAAAAGAGAACGAACCCATAAAGAAGTTGAGTGGATCAAATGAGTGACTAAATTTGCATTAAAAAAGGCAAACCAGAGAGCTTCAAAATGTTATAATCTGGCTTTGGTTAATCTTTAACGTGCTGTAATGATGATTATTAATATTTAAGAATGAACTTTTGTCTTACAGCAACTAAGTATAGATTAACCAGTCAGGCAGAACTATATTGGCAGCAACATAGTGTGGAATTTTTTTGCTAATGCCTGACACCCTATGCCCAGTTATCTGGTTTTGATTACTTGGGGTAATGGACCAGATGTGAGTCTGTCATTTTTCTATTCTGTTGTGTTTTTCTTCCATATGCGTGATATAGACAATACAGCAATGTGCTTTGTGTCTAAACTTACAAGTTTTATTGGTCCTTGTAGTGAAAGTTCAAATGGCTGTTATGCCATCTCCCTTCTTAAGCATGTGATTTGATGTTTCCAGTTAGCATTTGAGTAATGTACGCTGCTTCCACAGCAATATTTATTGCTTGTTTTAGACAGGAGTTCATCGATATATGTAATGTTTTCTTAAAGATTTAATTTTAATTTTTCAGTATGTTATCTCTTTCCAGGCTTTGCATGACAGAAAATTTCCTGTTCCAAAACCTGTAGACTACAACAGGCATGCAGTTGTTATGGAACTTATTGATGGCTATCCTTTGTAAGTACTGAAGCTTGAATTCTCCGTGTTATAGAAACCCTAACAATGTTAGGTTCAGTAAGGTAACAGGGTCAGGTTTTGCCATGTCATGTCAGTGAATTTCACCATGCTGAGTAACGCTCTCTGGCTCACACTCAGGAGCATTCTGCTTAGTTATGGTCTTGCTTCTTTTACCTCTTTATTCAGAGAAATTTTTGTTTTCTTAGTCCAAGGAAAATGGTGAAATAGACTAATTATTTAAGTAAGGAATACATCAAAAGAGCAGTGTGTTAGAACTGCTGCAGTTAGTAACTGTTAGTTACTAGTCAGTACTGGTTTCTACACAGAAATCACGTATTCTTTATGTTATCGGATATATACAATATTGGATATAATATCCTTCATGTTCTGAGCTCCAGTTCATGATCTTTGATCTGGTAACTCAGGTAAGACTATAACTCACTGGTTTAGAACTTCTGCTCTGTTTACGTAGAATACTATGTATAATCTGATTTTGCTTGTTCAAGGAAGATTACTTTGCTTCAGTTGTTCAATATCTAGAAGCATGAAATATCACTGAGGATTGTACATGAAGGTATGCTTTGTTTTGTTTGCAGAGCAGAATGCAAAAGGCCTGTATACTTGATAAAATGTGGAATAATAGGTGCTTATCCGGAGACTTAAAGTTCTAGAACAAACCAGTCCATGCTCTTGTATAGTAATCAAGATCTTAAGTGCATGCTTTAATCGAAAGGGAAGTAATCCCAAAGTATAACAGTTGAAGAGTAGCATGGAGTGGAGTTCATTATATTCTGTCTCCCCGCCTTCATTTTTTAAGTAATTCCACATGCGTTATGTACATGGAGCACTTCAAGTTCTGTGTGGACATCTGCAGTGCACATTTACCATGCTCTCCCTGTTTTGTGATTCTAATCTGAAGGAGATAAGTAGAGGATGAGAATTACTTCAGATAGACCAAGATCAAAGAATCTTCTAATAGTTGAGGTTGGAAGGCACCTCTAGCAGTTATCTGGTCCAAACACACTGCTCAGGCAGGGCCTCCTAGAGCACATTTCCAGTTTTTCTGTTGTCTGTTTTCAACTCGGGCAATTGTCCATTGCCCGAGTTGAAAAACTAGTGCAAACTTGACAAGGTAAACACTTGCTATGCTCTCTTTCACAAGTGCAGGGTTATCCAAAGTTCCTGTGAAATTGGGCTTAGTTCTCCTAGTCTACCTACTTTATTTCACATATCACAGAATGTTTCAGACTGGAAGGGACCTCTGGAGGTCATCTGGTCCAGCCTCCCTGCTTGAGCAGGGCCACCCAGAGCTGGTTGTTCAGGACTACATCCAGATGACTTTTGAGTATCTCTAAGGAGGGAGACTCCACAACTTATATATATATATATATACACACACATTGATGAGATCCCCATGACCCTTCTGTTCTTCAAGCTGAACAGTTCCAGCTCTCAGTCTTTTCACATAGGAGAGATGCTCCAATTCCTTAATCATCCTTGTGGCCCTTCGTTGGACTCTCTCCAGTATGTCCATGTCTCTCTTGTACTGGGGAGGGCAGAACTAGACACAGTACTCCAGGTGTGGCCTCACCAGTGTTGAATAAAGGGGAAGGATTACCTCCCTTGACCACTGGCAGTGCTTTGTCTAATGCAGCCAGGGATACCATTAGCCGCCTTTGCAGCAAGGGCACGTTGCTGGCTCATGCTCAACTTGGTAACAACCCCCCGGGTCCTTTTCTGCCAAGCTGCTTTCCAGGTGGGTGACACCTGGTGTGTACTGGTGCATAAGTTTGTCCCTCCCCATGTGTAGGGATTGAATTTCATGAGGTTCATGCTGGACCATTTTTCCAGCCTGTTGAGGTCCCTCTCTTCGGCAGCACGACCCTCTGGTGTGTCAGTGACACTTTTTGGTGTCGTCTGCAAATTATGCCCCATCATCCAGCTCATTAATGAAGATGTTAAACAGGACTGGAACCACTTCTGACTTCTGGGCTACACTACTCATCACTGGCCTCCCATGAAGCTTTGTGCACAGCCATTCTGGCAGTTTTCAGTGCACCTCACTGCACATCCAGACTGTACATCAACAGCTTCTCTGTGAGAGTCTTACAGGAGACAGTGTCAAAGACTTACTGAAATCCAGGTAGATAATATCTACTGCTGTCCCCCCAGCTAGCAGGCCAGTCACTTCATCACACTATCAGTTTGGTCAAGCACGACTTCCCCTTGCTGAAGTTGACTACTCTGGATGATTTTCTCGTCTTTAATGTATTTGATGGTGGTTTCTAGGATTAGCAGCTCCATCATTTTCCCAGAGCTCAAGGTGAGCCTGATCATCCTATAGTTCCCTGGGCTCTTCTTGCCCTTGTTGAAGATGGGAGTGATATTTGCCTTCCTCCAGTCTTCAGGTACTTCTCCCAGTCACCGTGATTGATGAGCAGTTATCAAGGGTGGCCTTGCAGTGATACCTGCCAGCTTCCTCAGCGTTCAGGGGTACGTCCCATTGGGGTCCATGGACTTTTATATGTCCAGTTTGCTTAAATATTCCCTAAACTGATGCTCTTCCACCAATGGTACATCTTCCTTGCTCCAGCCCTTCCCCTTGATCCCTGGGACCTGAGATTCTGATCTCAGAAGATACCAGTTAACACAACTTCCAAATTCAATAAACACGTGGGACGTTTTATGATACAGAACTGTGGCTATGAGAAATAATTGCCACTTAATTTTGATATGAATATGAAAGTGTTCAACAGGAGCCTGTTACAGAGCTGCTAGACTTTGTATTTTACAAATGATCCATTCTCATAATACCGTAGTGCTGCTTTCAGACCAAAATATTTCACATGATAACTGTAAATGCTGGCCACTTCTTGACAATTTACGGTACAACAAGATAAGTGCCGGTTTACTTGGTTTGTTTATAAAGATCAGATTATTTGTATTTTGCCACGTAAAGTACTTTGCTTTCTTAGGTTCAGGAACACTTTAATCTTTTTTCTTTTTTTTTTCCCCTAACTTAGTCTAGAAAATAGGTTTTTCTAAAAGAAAATGTCATGAATTTGAATACAGGAAGACCTAGTTCCCACTGAGACGATAAGGTTACCTAAAACAGGAGAGACATAAACATTTATGAATCCATTATTTAAGTAACACATTATGACAATGGTGCCTGATAGGAGACAAGGAGCATAAAGTGAAATGAGATTTAGCATATATATATAAGGAGACATTTTCCCCAATTCAATGCAGTGAGTCAATGGCACAGGGTGCTTGGGGAGGTTGCACAGTGTCTCCATCCCGGGAATTTTTCAAGCCACAACTAGACAAAGCCTGGTTTGCAAACCAGGAGCCTGGAGTTAACTGGTGTGATCTCAGAGTTTACTCAGTTTTGAGGAGGGTATTGGACTAGAGACCTGAGAGCCCTTTTACCTTGAATTACCCTGACATTCTGTCAGGTGTATTCCACATATTTTGTCTGCCAGATGTATTCCACGTACTTTGTCTGTATTTTTAAATTAAGTCTTTCAAGGTTCAGAATATTACATTTGATTTAATTTTTCAGGTGCCAGGTGCGCCAAATCGAAGATCCTGCCTCCGTCTACAGTGAATTAATGGATCTGATTGTAAAACTTGCTAATCATGGTTTAATTCATGGTGATTTCAATGAATTTAATCTCATATTGGATAACGATGACCATGTCACTATGATTGATTTCCCTCAGATGATATCAACATCACATGCAAATGCTGAATGGTAGGTTCAAATTTAAAGATGTTTTTAAAGTAAATCTGACAAGCGCTGATGACAGCAAATAGTCAACCAGGGCTTTTCTCCATAAGCCTGTTTTCTTTTACTTTTTCTACCATTGTTGTCATCCAGCACATACAACATTCCAAACATAGTTTGATTTATGAATGAGTAGAAATGTCTACTTAGGATAAATATGTATTTAATTGCTTCTCAGAGAGAATACTGAAGTTCAGTTAAGAAATGCTTAGGAATGCTTACTGCAGCAGTTTGTCTTCCTAGCCTTTTGTCTTGGGATCACTAATAAAAATAATTTTAAAATAAAATCAGTAAAAGACAAGAAATGTAGGTTAAAATTTTGTCGTTGCAGTAGACTTTGTTACCTTGATTTTGGTTTTGTGCAATTCTGTTTTTTTTGACAGGTATTTTGACAGAGATGTTAACTGTATAAAGGAGTTCTTTAAGAAACGCTTCAACTACGAGAGTGAGCTCTTCCCAGCATTCAAAGACGTCAGGTAGAACCTGCCAGATGAATTTGAGTTCTCCTATTTATGGTATTTGTGTTAGTTTTGTGAGAAAAAATGAGTGTCTGTGAGCGATGTTTGTAGGAGAAATAAAAGAAATAGGCCCAACTATACGATTTTAAATTGTGTTTTTGTCATTCCTTGTGTTTTCTTCAAAGTTACTGTAAGTGGTTTCCAAAAGCTAAAGTGTGGCTTAAAACCCGCTGCTGCCTGCTTTATCTTTCTTCTTGCAGCTAAGGAAGAGAGATTAATCGTAAAATTTGATCCAAATGGTATGTATCTAGGAAATGTTAAAAGTGATGCGGAATCATTTTCTCCCACTTCTTAAGGCCTATTTGACAGTTGTAGTATATTGAGGATTAATTTGGGTTTCAATTTTAAATTTCTTTTTAAAATCCAAGTAAATGTGGTGACTGCCTCTTTAAGTGTTACTATGCTCAAAGTTTTCATCCTAATGTCTTTTGTCTGTTTTGAAAAGTAAGGTAATTGTTTTACTTATTTTAAGACTGAAGTAGTTGCAATTCAAAGGAGTTTATTTCATTCTGAGCCCTTTTCCAAAGGGTTGCCATGCTTGAATCAGTCTCTGTGTGTCAGAGTTCTCTTTATTCTTCTGTTAGCTTAAACATAATTTCAACTTAAAGTCAAATTGTATTCCTGCTAAAGTAGAATAATTTCCTATAAAGACGTAAACAAATAAGTAAATCTGGTGATGGAGATGGAATAATCTTCTGTACAAGTTTGCTTCTCTTGGGTCACATTCTGTTAATACTTTACGTGAAGCTTAGCACTATCATGTGGTGTTCTGTGTGTTTCAATGGCATATATCCTCTTTGTTAATAGTATGGGTAATGATAGTCTAATTTGATTAATATTTGTAACCCAAAATGTACCATATTTGTAGCGTGATGATTTAGCATACTAAAAGAAAACATACTTCTTTCACAGGAAGGAGTGTTCTCTTGATAGGGAGATTGCTGCCAGCGGCTATACAAAAGAAATGCAGGCAGATGGTGAACTGCTTTACCCACCAGGTTCTGATGAGGATGATAATACAACAGAGGTATCAGAATTTGTAGAAGATGCTGAAAATAATCTCAACTTCTTCAGCAAGGATAAAGAAATGAATGCAGACATCATGTATGAAGTGGGTGACTTCTCTGAAAGCAGAACCTCTGACAACTTTATGTATAGCGATGAAGAGGCTGATGCAACTGAAAGTAGTGAAAATACACAACGGCTAAATATGTCAAAGTTGAGTTCAGCCTTAGAAAAAGTTGAAGGGGAAGCTATGGTTTGGAAGACCGACGAAGATGCAGAGAGTCCTGCAGTTATTTTTTTTAAGGGCAAAAGCATAACTGAAAATGCTGCTGAAGTTGAAAATCAGACAGGTCAAGGAGGGTGCTCTAATGATAAAGAGAATGAAGACAAATGTCCTGATCTGGTTGACTTGTCAACTTTAAACGAAAACGTCAGCCATTACAGGTAAAGATTCGTATATACTGTCAAGCAGTGTGGTTCCTCTCCTCCCCCAAATAAATGTAAATCTTTCAAGTAGCTCAAAAAGGACTATTCTTCAGCTAACCTTGTTTAAATTGAAGACTAAAATTCAATTTATTTTGAAAACATTGCAGTGCATATCTTTCCTGTTGGTCTCATGATAGGTAATCTGTTGATTGATACTACGTAATGTAATGCTTCATGTGTAATGTGCGAGGGATCAGTTGTCCAGTTGTGTAGTAGTATCCAATGAGAGAACAGATCTTAGATCTAATTCACAAAACAACTTATTTTCTGCGATGGAATTTTTTTCCCTTTCTCTTCATTTCAGTTAATATTGGTCGTGAAAGAGTTCTTGACATTAAAATACTGCTTCTAAGTAACTTTTATGAATAAGTTTTTAACTTTAATGCTCTGACTCAAATTATTCTGCTGCTCACTCAGCTGAGGTTAGCAAGAACAAGCTCGTTGGAATGTATTAGTCACATATATTGTATTGTGTGTTTTCTCTAGCTTTTACTTCCTGTCCTGACATACTTAAATTCCTGCTTACCTTCAGGATAGCCCCTTGTACCTGAAATTCTGAGTTTGCCATCCCACCATGTACTTGGATGCGTATACCAAGCTCATACTCCCCCTCATCTGCTTTTGTTTTTTACTGAAGTGACTTGTGGAAACATTGTGCAGAATCTGAAATATTTTTTTCTAGTATTGTGAAGCTTATTCTTCCTGTACATGTGGCTATTGTGCAACAATTTTTTCCCATCATAAAAGTGCCTGTTTTGAATAACTAGTGTTAAAATGTAAATGTTTTGTAGTACTTGCATTTTCTGTTGGGAGGTTTCACATTATATCCCAAAAAGTTAAGATAAAAACACGATGTTCATAACAGCAAAGGATGTTTATCTTGCTAGTGGAATAAAACATTGATTTCTCTATTTTAGAAATGAAGAGGATATCGTTCATATCGCTGAGCACAGAACAAGGACTAAAAGTATCACATCAGTCAGAAGTGTTGGGAGCTGTTCAACCATTCCAGCGGTAAATATTATTGTTGTTATCTAGTTTACTCTCAGAACATGTTAAATTGAACATAGCTGTTAGTACCTATTTGTAAAAATGTTATCTAGCATTAATTATCTTTAAAAACACATGTACCCCCTCGGTTTGCATTTCCATGTCCACAGAAAAATAGGACTGATACTTTTGTAATTGTTTACATGGAATGATTTCCAGCACTTCCCTTCATATGTTTGCTCTTTCACCAAATCTCTACATCAGCATTAACAACTCTTATTTAGCCAATAACAGGCTAATGTATGTTATTGTGTGTTAATGCACTAACATATAATCAATTAATTCATTTCTGTTCTTAGTCACAATTAATTTTTTAAAGTGGATGCTTGCATCAAGATTTAATTTGGCCTTTTTCACCTGTTGTCTTAGAGATTTCTTCCCACCCTTCTGAAACGTTTGTATGAACTCAGTTCAGTAGTGATTTATTTGGCAATATGAATTTATTTGACTTTCTGCATTATATACATCAGAACATTTTCAGCAGAATTTAGTGTCTTTTTCTTCAACCCATGACTATACACTAGCCAGTATGGCTGCGTCTGTCCCATTTTTAAAAGTGCAGTTTCATATTAAAAGGAAGAAAGTCCAATGTTTTTTGTTAATTATAAAGTGTACTTACACAAAACAGGAAGAAACTTACTTCAGCTGACAGCTGATCCATGAGGTACTTTTTTAATTAGGTCAGACTACGTACTTGCCATTGTAAATATGGGTAGCTATGTTTAGTCTCATTTTCATTTGCAGTTAGGAGCAGAAGCTCTGAAAAATCTATTTTGGGGAACACATTAGTGTCTTTTCAAAGCATTTCTATTGTCTGATTTGAGTATATCTCAGTATATCTGAAACCTCTAGTTCTGGCAAGAGCAATATGGGTTTTTTTTTGAGTTAGACTTGATCTTCCTCATTTACAGTCTTTTCAGTCCGCTACTTACTGCTTCAGTACTTTTCCAAGACAGGTTTTGCTACTGTCCTGTTAAGTGATACATTGTTCTGTGAAGCAGCCTTGTTTTACACAAGGTCCCTGTTGGTGGCTGTAATACTAATAGCATAATTACTCTTTCATGTTTGTTTTTTTGGTTTGTTGTTGTTGTTTTTTTAGTTAAGTATTTTAAAGATAAGAATAACTAATAAAGTTACATGTGTAAATAAACGTTAAGGAACGGCATGTTTGCATCTTGTCTGAGAAGTTCTTTTACAGGACTTCATGTGAGGAAAAAAGCCCCAATTTTGATCTCCGTCATCGCAGTTCTTATTCTAGGGGATGGTATTGTATCTGCTTAAGGAGACAAAGGATTAGGTTAAAACTATGGGATGAAGTAAAAAGAGCTAGGATGACCTGCTAGGAATTCCCTAGCTTCTGGTCCATGCAATCTTTTTTTTTTTTTTCCTTTCTATTTTTTCCTTTTTTTTTTTTTGAGTTTGCTAATGTAAGTGTACAGAATTAAAAACACAAGATCACTGCTTCTAAGTCCTATAAAGGAAATTACTTGAAATTATACTCCTGTACACCACTTGGTGGTAGCAGTGGTCATTGTGTAGCTATGGAAACCTTTGTGAGTATTTAGAGAATGTGTGTATATTCTGTCGGCAGACACATAAAAAACATGTTAAAAATAAGTAAATGGCGTGTATGTACCTAATTTTCTGTTCTAAAAGAAAGATAACATTTTAGCAGAAAAGGTTCCAAGAGATTCAGCCACATAAAAAATTTTATCCTGGATCAGCTTACCTTGCATAATGCTTTTACTTACATGCTTTTATGTTGAGTAAAATAATGTTTCTGCCCATTACTGAGTCTTATTTTAACTTTTGAATGTTAGAGCTAAAGAAATAATATGTATAATGGGCTATCTGTAACATAAGAAAATAATTCTAAAACTAAAAGTGCAAAATTATGACAGTGCAGTAAGATCAACTGGGCTGTTACTGCTGCTAGCGTTTATCTGTTGTTTATGCAGCTTGCTTTCTGTTCAGTGGAGAAAACATATTAAAACACTAGCAGATTTTTAAATTAATCACACAGACTAGTTCATATAGGCATATATAAACAAAAGTGGTTAACAGTACTAAGTACAGTCATAACTTGGAGACTATGCCAAAAAGAGAAAGCATCATGAATTACAGAAAATCAGCTATTCCACATGAAGTAAGGTATCTTTCTGTGCTTATACAAATCTTCATATGCACTAATGTAATTTAATTAGAGGAAACAATGCAAGTAATCAAAAATTTAACTATTAAACTGTAAATCTACTTACGGCGAAACATTTCTCAGTATTTGCTCACATTTAGGTTATGATGATGGAAAGACTAGTAAGCACCACATGCTGTGTTTCAGCAGTAGGATTCGGTGAATTTACTTTATGATTGCATGTCAAAGACTTCTGGTATCCATCTTGCAAAATTTCTTCCGGCAAGTTTTGTATAAACTAGTCATCTGTCCTGGACCAGAATGGGAGAAGAAGAGAAGCCTTGTTTCAGGGTTCTGCCTATAGAAAACACAGAATGCTTTACTGGCAAAAGAAAAACATCAGTCTGACAGGTTATATTAGTTCTGATCAGTTTTTCTTTGGGAATATTTTTAAAAGAGAGTCTAAAGTTTTTATTTCTAAAAAGCTCGCAGTTAAATACTGAGTGCCACTAAGTACCCAAGGAAAGGACACATCAGCTACAACTGTCTTTTATCCACATTTTGACAGTCAGTCTGCATGCGATGTAACTTAGGAAACTGCTGTTCAGGTGTTTCCCTGATTATTGCAGGATTCCTGCAATCAGGATTGAGTAATTGGATTCATTGACTACCATGTATTTTGTTACTTTAGTTGTAGTAGTCACAGCAATTCTTAAAAAGCATAACTAAACAAAGTTATGCTTTCTGGTTCCTTAGTCCCTGGTTCCTCTGGTTTCTTATAGTCCCTACCAACTTAGTAGTTCATATGCTGCAGTGAAGCAGAATTGATAGGACAATGAACAAAGTACAACAAGGCAACTGAAATTGGGGAACATGTAAACGAAACGTAGCTAGATTGATATTGTTCCTTTTGTCCAGTTATTTGGCCATCAGCAGATCTTTTATTAAGGGCAGATTTGTTCCTTGATATGATTTTTTTTAATGCTTTATTAATTGGAATAAAAATAAGACAATCCTTTAGGATTTCCAACAAGATATGGTTCCGTCATGGTGAAATAGTTAGAATGATGAAAATAATTTGATTTTTTTTTTTTTTTTCCTTCCAAGACAAGATATGCAACTATGCACTCAATATCAGTGCAGCAGCTTGAGCTGGGGTCATTTTCCAAATGACAAAATCACAGCCACAGTCTACTAAATCATGGCTTCATTTTTATTATGGGTAGCTATTGCCATCGTAATGGACACCAGAACCCAGATTGAAAACATAGGTGTGAATAACAGAGGAAATTTCATAAAACTACCGCAGTTTTATGAAAATGACAGTTGCTTTTGCTGTAGAGGCATGAGACTGTCTTGTGAATCCTATGTGAGACTGATTGTGAATCTTAATTGAACAGTGCCTCACAACAGGGCAAAACTGGAGAAGGAATTGTAAATGACTCCTGACTGCCCATCTTTTTTAGCACGCTTGTGATAGAGAGTTCTTGGTTTCCGTTAGAGTCATACTCAGAACTTTGTAATCCAAACTTTAGAAAAAGCAGGGTGCTAAAAAAAAAAAAAAAAAGGTACAAACCAAATAATTGCTACAGGATGTGAAATGTTCTATTGGTCCTTCTTTTGCTGGAAGACATTTGTCTAATCTAAGGCTAGAATATTATCAGCTTTTACATTTTTGTAGAAGGCATGTGTTTTGCCCTCAAGGTGCGAGTCCTTTATGATACCTGTAAGAAAGACACTCCGTAAGGTATGATTTAAAATGCTATTTATTAGAGCTAAGACTATCAGAAGAGAATAGCATAGATCATCCCCCACCTCTTTAGATGCTGGGAGCTCTTGAGGGTTTAGCAGTGAACAGGACTGCAACAAACACGCAGCAGACCACGCAGACCTTGTCCGTAGCAGAGAATATCTTCTAAGTCAGTTGAGTTTTTTATGATTTTCTTACAAGGAAACAGTTCTGTTCTTCATTTCTACACTAAAGCTTAACTGATGATCACATGAGAACTTCTTGCTGTACTTTTAGATAAAGGCAGGGCTACACAAGAGGCCTAATTGCCAGCATTGCACAGGAGCTGGCTTAGTTTGTCCTACTGCCAGCAGATTTGTGCAGCACAACAGGGGCCTGAAGACAGCCCTGTACATGCAGCTTAGTGCAACACAGCACAGACCTGGGCTTACTCACATTAGTGTTGTATAGATCACTAACTTCTTGATAGTCACAAGTCTTCCTCTTAGGATCATGCATGTTCACATTGGTACTGAAAATGCACTATCATTGTGCCATGTTTTTGTACTATATGATCTTCAAAAAGTTCTGATACTGGATTGTTTCTTTATTTGTAGGAATTGGTGAAACAGAAGATAAAGCGTCAATTGACCAAAAATCAAAAGTCTGCTCTGAGGCGACGGCTGCAAAAAGGAGAGGCAAATATCTATACCAAACAACGTCGAGAAAATATGCACAACATTAAGTCAAGCTTGGATGCAGCTAGTTTCTGGGGATAATTTATTAAAGTTCCCATAGAACATAAGAAAACTTACAATGTATACAGTTGAAAGAAGTGTACTAATAACCAATAATCATTTTATATAACAGGGGAATCTCTTCTGTACAACTAAATGTTTTTCTGGAAGTTAATAAACCTCATTCTGGTTACTGTGATTTAATTTGGGGGATTTTGTTTTGTCTTCCTGGTTAAAATCGTTGAGTGTAATTTAAATTTGATCAGTAGTACAGGCTAAGATCATTTAACTACAGTAATTTTGAACAGTATCTTGTAAATCAATTGTACTGTTTTTGTTTAGATAAAGAGTCTTCAGTTTGCAGAGGATTCACCTTAAGAGGGAAGGAAGGGGAATTTTTAAAACCAATTTTTGCAATGGCTAAATTTTAAATGTTACCCGTATGTTATAAACAGGCATTTGTTTAGTTTAATTAAAAATCACAAATAGGAACCTGATAGCAGTTAGTACTCTTAAGATTTCTTTTTTACCTGTACAAACGTGAGCAGTCCATCTGATGAATATGCATTCTTTGAAGCCAGCAATTCTCGTTTATTTTTTCCTTCACTCCAATATCTCGCTTTCAAGTCTTGCCCAGGAAAATATGTAATAATAACAGTGTTGCACAGACCTGGCAAGTGCTCAGATTTTTAATGTGCCTGCAGAGTTGCCAATAAGTTTGATTCCTTTATGTCTAGTAACATACATAAAGTGTTAAGAATTTTGAAACTTCTTTTTTTCAAAAATATTAGCATGACTTTTACTATGACCCTTGAGGTCTGAAGACCTAGAAGAAAAACAATCATCTTGATTTTTATTTTTTTTTTTTATTTTAAGCAAGGTATGTCTAGTAATAAAATTAGGTGGTATTTATATTTAAAAGCACATAATAAACATAAGGAGAGAAGTATTTGTGAACACTTGAAGCAATTGAAGCAAGAGAGACCAGTTTAAATTCTTCTTTGTTCTTTTTTTAACCTTCTGTCCATTGTATCTGTGCTTGAGGTGGAGCCCTTCTTGGGAAGGATGACTTGGTAGGGTTTAAATTATCAATCTATAGTTTGGAAAAATCTTAAACCACCTACTTGTCTGAGTAAAAAAAATTAGAAACTTTGGCTTTGACCTTTGGTTTTTTGTTTGCATGTCTGGTACTCTGTTCTTTGCCCCATGTACAAATATGCTGGATACCTTATTCAGGTTTTAGCCTGTTGAAGAACGGCAGCCTCTATCCTGTCTTGCAGCGCAATTTTGCTGTCAAAGTTTTGTCTTCTCTCTGGAACAGTGTAAAAGCTAATCTCAGCCGTTACCTATATATGGTTTTAAATATAATCATGGCGGGTCAGTGAAGAGATGTATGCATGAGGTAAGCATTCCTTGTAGCATCATATCTGCATGTTGAAAGAAGTAAGGAAGTCCAATTAAATCTTACACAAAAGTGATTGCAATTAAGGTATGTAGGCCTGTTTCCTGATACTGCTAGAGCTGATTTTAGCAGGCGTAGAAAAGCAAAACTAAGTGAATTTAATTGCATTTCCAATTTTAAACATTAATGGAAAAAAAGAAATCTTATGTGTCTGGGCTCTTATCTATTAAGCAGCTGGTTCAGTGACAGCTTAACAAGATTTGAGTTATGGTTCTTTGGCTAAGATGTCCGTGCACTTTTTTGGCTTGTAATTTAGGACTTCTCACAGTGAATGAGTCCTTTTTGGTGTGCAACCTTAAGTCTGTCTTGGTAATCGGTTGCAAAAATACACAAAGGCTATTATTTGATTCAGGAGCATGAGAAAGAAAGGATGATGGAAATCTCTGCTGTTCGTTCTCAAAATTTTCCTTTAAAATATCCATTTACTCTTTTAAAGGTATTCTAATGGATGGCTGTAAGTTACTTTAATTTACTCTGCCAGATGAGAGTCTTCTGAGACTGGACTTGGCGAGGAAGGAACTGATCCTCAAAGTTACAGCTTAATATATCTTTATTAAGCCTTTTTTTTTTTTTTTTTTTTCCAAAGCAGCAGAATTCTGGAAATATCTAAAGTCATCAAAGGTGACAATGAAGTTTACACATCAAATGAACTTCACAGTACTCACTCCACTGGAATGTCTGCATATGAAACAAAGTATTTAGAATTAACTTAGGAAAATGCAGAGGTTAAGACAATAGTGTTATTTGCTATTTTAAATTCACGTATTCAGCAGGGAAAAATGTGTGGGTTATAGCAAAATTGGTTTAAAATGTGTTATTTTAGTAAGCACACATAAAGTAGTGTTATTTCATTAATTTGTAAGCAAACAATTTGAAAATTAGTAAGGAGCAGACAAACATTGTACTATGCACACTCAATATACGCAACAGTATGTGCTCAAACTTTTAAGTGATACAGGTTTGAGGCTGTGTAGCAATTTTTCCACTGCTGAATCCTAAAACCTAGCTTTTGTTTTGAGAACATAGAAGAAAAGATCGTGGAGTAACTAAGAACACATCTTTACTTCTGCATTTTTTCCATGTGAGGAAGACTTTACTGCAACTGATACAGAAGTATTCTGTTCCAGCAAAGTAATTGCACTTGATGTAGCTTACGGCTGCTACAAACAGCCCTCCTGTCTGAAGGAACATGCATGTAACACCTGTATGGCAGCAGTGTATTTGCGTTTGTACTTCAGGCTTTTGCCAGCATGTCTATGTCTGTCTTTTGATTGGAATTCCTCTTCAGACCCCCGAACAACTCACAGGTCCTGTTCTCTTATGTGTAAATAGTTTAGTTCAGTGACATCGCAATACACTTACTGTACATGGAATTGGAAACTACATTCCAGGAAAATAGATTCAAATTGGGTTAACCTAATACATTAGAAGTTTAATTTTGCTTTCTTTTTCATTTTCCACTCGCCATTAATATCAAAGTTGTGTTCCTAGTGCATAATTGAAAGAGGAAAAAAAAGCATACTTTTTAGTTAATTCACTGTTTAAACAAGAGTCTACACGCTACTTTCGTAGTAATGAGTTGGGAACAACTTTACACCTTTTTTCCTTGTATTTTCCGTTTCTCCCTAGAATTTGAGAATCTTAGGGAGCAAGGTAGTCTCTTTGTTCATTTGGCAGAAACATGAATGATCTTTT